ATGTTGGAGGGACTAAGAGAGTCTCAGCTGTGGTTAGAGAAGTGGATAGGGAAGTCTGTGTGTCTATGGTTAAAATGCTGCCCCATGACCCGGCAACGGATCAGGCAGAAATAAATGGACGGATGCTTAAAACTGCAATTTAAGAATACTGGTAAATAGTCTAGTGCTTTTAAATCTTTGTTTGTTGGCCATATGTTCTTGTTATTTCCTATGCTTTTCTCATCCGCTTTCCTCTCTGTAAACAGCCTCAGATATTCACTGTGAGACCTTTGTTTGTTTGCCTCTTTCACGACATCTCTTTAGTCTCCTCTGGCTTCTGTATTTTCCGCAGTCGCTAATACAAAAAAAAACTTTACACAAACGAAGCAGTGGAAGATGCCCAGACTGCTATTCATATACAAGGCTCATAAGTATTTTTATAATAGGGTTTTTGTAAGAAATTAAATGGATAGAATGGTTTTCTAAAGGAGGTTTTGAAAAATGTAAAAAAATATATATATATATTTTTATGTTTGACAATTATCAACTTAATTATTTGATCTCTTCTAATTGTAATGTGTTGTTTATATAACCACGCTGCGACAGTAAAACGTTAGAGTTGGGTATCGGATTAGCCTTTCGTTTACTTCGAGTGTCCCATGGAGGAGCAATTCTACTCCTTCGTCCAGACAAAACCACGCAAAGCTGTAGTTTCAGTTTCCATTTTTGTTGCTATTGTGAAATGCAGAATGGTGTTTGTGCATCCTCCTCAGGCTTTGCGGTGGCCTGAGGAGGATGTTGTTGAGGAAGTAAATATACTGGTGGGAGTCGTGTTGTAAAGTTCTACTGCCCCCTACTGGCCGGGCACTAGAATTACAGAGTTTTCCATTCTTCTGTAGATGCTGTGCACTTCGAATAAGGAGCCTGGTTGTTTTTGCTAATTGTTTTGCAGCGTCTCTGCCGCATCTTCTAAACAGGGCCCAAGTCTGAGTTTGCAACACCTTTGCTTGCTGTCTGTCTGTAAAATGTAATAAAATCCAATTAACTGCACAATAAATCTACCCTGACAGTCTGGGTCTCTGCCAAGGACAATGAATGAGTGAAGTTTACACACTGTGAGATTTAAGGCTACAGGACCATCCGTTTTTATATCACCGCCAACCATGTCAGTGCTCCATTCTCTCAATCCATAAATCTTTTTTCTCTCAAGGCCTCCTGCATTCAGAAGCAGATTTCATTTCATCTATACGAGGCTTCTAATATTATCAAGTTGGCCTTCTATGGCGTTATATTCTAAACAGGTGAAAGACAGAAAAACAAACCCTGGTGAAAACCATAACTATATTCTATATTCTATACTGGGTCTAAACGGTCAGTAAATCAGAACCATGTATAATGAATTGCTGCTAATATTGCTATTAGAAAGATATTTTATCAAGCAATAAATCAAATCAAATTGTTTCTGTGTTGCACATTTCCTAAACAAGACAACCCAAAGTGCTTCACAATAGCCCACAAACAAACAAGCATCCAAACCAGATAAAATACATTAAAACACATGCAAATAAAAGTCTTTATTTAAGACACTATAAAAAATAGTTTTTATAAATATAATTTCAGATCATTATTTGTTCTTAACCCTGTAACACCGGTGTACCAACAATACTGTTTTATTTTCATTTCTTATTCTTGTACCATCTTTGTATCATTTTGAAACCTTGATAAACCATAAAACAAGGATCTTACTAGAGGTCCAACACCTCACTATTTATCAGAATATTCATATTATACAACAAATAATTTACAATCAATTTCCTGTGGACTCACCCCCTGCAGAAGATCAGTGAGGGACTGGTGCTATGAGCGTTGGGTGGCAGCTCTCATTGCCACCCCCCCGACCCAGAAATGGACAAAGAGGTTGAAAATGAAATGAAATTAAATTAAATGAAATTTACAATCAATATATAGTTTCAAGTATTGATTTTATCTGTTGTTTTCTTATCCTTTTCTCACTACTCGTTTGAAGCTGTTAATTTGCTCCGGCAGCCCATTATCCCGGACACGCTGCTATCGAAAAACACTTTATAGAAAGCCGGCTGTGGCTGCTCACAAGGCCATGCATCAACCTCTTTGGGCTGACTAAACAAACACCAAGCATAATGGCTCTTTTCTTTGCCAATGTCATGGTGTAGCTGTCTTGCTGTGCATATATTCTAATTCAATTGTATTGTGAAGCTGCTTATATTCGTATGATAGTCAAAGGTGTCCTCCTCGAGCGCTAACCGTCAGCTTCAGGCTAAAGGCAATTCTTAAGATGGACGAAATGAGAATAAGCTGCACTGGTTCCTCTTTTCAGAAAAGACTTGGTCAAATTAATACTTAATTTTAAATTGCACTGACAGAGGCAATTTAGAAATGGAAGCCTGTGTTATAGAAGCACAAGATGACTTTAATCAAAAGTTCACTGTTGCAAACGTGCTTCAGTTGTTCCCTCATTTGCTTTGGCAGATTTTCAGAAACAGAGTCCTTAATTATTTGATTTAAATGTAATATCAATAGTGATTCATGTTTCTATAATCTATATTTCCCTGCTTTCAAGAAACCATCTGAAATGTGTTTCTTGTTTCTGTGTCTGTGAAACGTGTATGATTCAGCAGGAATATGGCACACAAGAGTGATTTATAGGATTATAGGAGAAATGCGTTTGGTATTGAGCAAACCGAAAAGCAATATGAATCCGTGTCACTACGCACAGAGCAAAACAAACAGTGGAGTAGCGCTGCTGCCTGATCTCCACTGACTCCGCAGTGAATCACAACAGACGCTGATGTGTTTTCTCCACGGCAGCAGACGCATCCGTGGCTTCGGTGCTGCACGTGCCGTTCTGTTTTGTGTACAGGCTTTTTGAAGAGTTAGAAGCGAGGAATCATGGTCCTTTTTGCGCTTCAAAAGAAAAAGTCTGCAGCAGTGAGTGGAGTGGGAGGGAGATTGAGGAGGCCGGTCTTTTTTTTTTTTTGGAACAAATCACAACTGTTTGGTTTTAGATGTTCAGTTGTTCTCTGTATCTTGTTATCATAGTTATTTTTTAATCAAGATAGCTGTTCTCATTTTTATCTCACTGAAATCCATAAAAGAGCACTGTGTAATAATAAGTAGGCGCGTGGCCCAATATTTAGATATTTCTGTAGTATCATCATGGCTAGATAAAGAATCTTGTCTTAGGGGTATTATAGTTTGAGGTCCTTAATCCATTATAATAATTTATTTTAAAAGATATTTGCGATACATAGTACAAGATTACAACCAACCGAAAGTAAGACTACAAAATGATATAATAATAATAATAATAATGTATCTGTTTTTTATAGCACAGTGGTGATTTTTCCTTCCATTTTTGGTCCGAAGGCCTTATTGGGCATGATATATGTTGTGTAAAAATAGTTAACCTGGCAAGAGCCAGATTGATGATTGTGTAGAACTCGCGTTCTCCACGATATCAATCTGGGATTTCTCCCGGAGAATCCTCTCGGGGAAAGGAGGGATAAGCAGCAGAATACTTGAAGCTGATTGGGCAAAGTGACGCTGTGTGCCCGCCTACCAAGGTTGCCGTCCAGAAATGCACAAAGCGCCTCTCGCTGTTCATCTTTTGGAGATTCTGCTAAAACTGACTTGATAGCCTCAGCTACGCGTCCGTCCTCCTGCGTAGCCATGTTTGTTTTGCTTCGGCCCGGCACTTCTTGCTTTCGTCAAACCCGGATATCCCGCCCTAAACCCCCAGACTGGCGCGTGATTGGCTCGCACACCCAGTGGTTCGACTCGAAAAGTGTAAGCGGGAGCGGTACAAGATGTATTCTCGAGTGTTTGTGAACTCACAAATACCGCGAGAATTCAGCTTGCAGGCAAGGTTAAAAAATAGTAGCGATAGCCAAAAAAAGGCAAGCAGGAGGCAACAGCCACATACAACCTCACATACCTAAACTACTTGTTTATGTAAGCTCTCAGTTGTACAGGGAATATTCAAAACAAAGGAAGGTTGCTCACCCATCATCTGTACTTCAGTTAGCAGGTTTTCCCGATGTTCTTCTTAATCCAAAGAACTTTCTCAAGGGAATGAAAGCTCAGTCGCGAGTTGTAGATTTATAACCTGTGGGTGTGGTTAGACACTCCATGATCCTGAGGCTAACTTAACACATCTAAAGTCTGCCAAGCAAGATGTGGTTGGGAGCAGGTCTTACAATCCTAACTCATTTGCATGTCACTGACCTTATCTATTGTTTGGCCGTTAAATATTACAGATGATGAGTGAGCAACCTTCCTTTGTTTTTTAAACTACTGGTTTGGATTTCTTTGTAACTTGTGCACATAATATGGCTCAAATGTTCTAAATGTAAAAGGATTCAACAACTGTCCCACCATTTTGACCTGGAGATGTGTGTGAATACTGGTGACTTGTGATTTTCTCTGCAAAGTGAGTGCTCTGCAGGATATTTATGGTGCAAATATGATTTGATTACAACTGCATTTGTTTGGCATAATCAAGGCAAGTGTTCTTGGGCCCACACTGCTCTACAGGCTCAAAGCTGAATGAAAGAGACAGATATAGCATATGATTATGGGGCACTTAAGTTTCAATGTATACACCCAAATCAATCTTGTTTTCATCTTTTTCATAATATAGTAGTTTTGAGCAGATTATATATTATGCTTGTTAAGCTTCATATATACTTCAGCTAACATTTCAAATGTACTTGAATGTCTGTGCTCACTTTGAATCACATTAACACATTCTTTCTTTTTCTCTATCTCTTTCAGATGTAAAATGAGTGCCAGCAGGAGGAATTTGATGTCCAAATAAGTGGAGAGCAAAGAGCTGCACTTATGTCTTCAGACCTCCATCACTGATGGTTCATGTCTAGGCACGTGCAGAGGCAGCTCCAGGCTGCGAGGCTCAGAGGAGCTGCTCTAATGGAACACAAGCCTGAGAAGATTGTTGGCCTCTCCACTGTTTCAAATGCAGCATAATGCCTTCCAAAGTGTCATGCTTGTACCTGCTGACAGTGGTGTGCTGGGCCAGTGCACTGTGGTACCTCAGTATATCTCGGCCTACGTCCTCCTATGAAGGACACATGTCCATACCCATACGCAAGACTGTCAAAACACCCAAGAACTTCACCTTCACCAACATCCGCTCACGCACTCTTAATCCACACTCCTTTGAGTTCCTCATCAATGAGCCCAAGAAATGTGAGAGTGTCAGTCCCTTCTTGGTTATCCTCATCAGCACCAATCACAAGGAGTTTGATGCACGGCAGGCCATCAGGGAGACCTGGGGGGACGAGAGCATCTATGAAGACATTCACATCCTCACTATCTTTCTCCTTGGAAGGAACACTGATGACGTGCTCAACCAGATGGTGGAGCAGGAGAGCCAGATATTCCATGACATAGTGGTGGAGGACTTCATAGACTCGTACCACAACCTGACTCTGAAGACCATCATGGGCATGCGCTGGGTGGCCACCTTCTGCCCAAAGGCCCAGTATGTGATGAAGACAGACAGTGACATCTTTATCAACATGGATAACCTCATCCACAAACTACTGAAGCCCAACACCAAGCCCCGCAGGAGGTACTTTACAGGCTACGTGATAAACGGGGGGCCCATACGAGACATGCGCAGTAAGTGGTACATGCCCCGAGACCTGTACCCGGACAGTCGCTATCCCCCCTTCTGCTCGGGCACAGGGTACGTGTATTCTGCAGATGTGGCAGAGCTCATCTATAAGACATCTCTCCACACCAGACTGCTGCACCTGGAGGACGTGTATGTAGGCCTGTGTTTGCGCAAACTCAACATCCACCCCTATCAGAACAGTGGCTTTAACCACTGGAAGATGGCCTACAGTCTCTGCCGCTACCGCCGCGTGATCACCGTGCACCAGATCTCCCCAGAGGAGATGCACCGCATCTGGAACGACATGTCCAGCAAGAAGCACCTGCGCTGTTAGGAGCTCTGCCCTTTGCCTTTCTTTATTCACTGAACATTGTACAGAGGGTTGTCCTCATGACGGGCGTGTCATCCACATCCATCACTGGTAAATGTGATGCATTATGATTGTCAGACACATGGTGTTGCCATTCTAATCCTGCCTTCTGATTTATGTTGCCTTTGAAGTGCCCTTGAGCAAACACCAAACCCATAGCTCTGCAGTCGCTAATTCCATCATCGTCCTATGTTGTTTGAATACATTTGACTCAGATTGTCCTTAACAGTGTAAGACATAAGATTACCTATTTCCTACATGTTTTCTGGACTTCTCTAACACCACTGCTATTGAGCTCATATTAGATTAGCCAAAAGCATGGAAGTAATGGTTGCATTATCAGGTCAACATTAACCAGAATCTGATTGGTCTAAAAGCTCTTGTGCATTTAGCCAGTAAAAGGCAGGTAATAGACCTAAGTAATTGGATTGAAAACATTATTCATGATCAAATTATTTAAATTGAGATGCAGTCGTATCTGGTATCTATTCCGTATCTGTTCAAATTAATTTGTTTAGTGTTGGGTCATTCCATTATTTATTGTAACAATATTTACTGGCCACTGTAGATGTGAAATGTATCATGGTTGCACTTTTTCTGCATTTGAATACAGTTATGTTGTAGAGTAAAACAAATGCTATGATATGACAACAACACATACCACTCACCCTTTCCCCTCACACTGAACTATTATATTTTATTCTGTGATGGTACAAAATAGTTTTAGTATGAATTTCCAGTGCATCACAAAACATTCCCATTTAATATTTAATTAATATTCCTCATTTACTGTACTCTTAGGAATTCCCAGTGACTGTTCTGGGTTTGGAAATTTGATTATGGGAACTGCAGAGTCCTATATTGTCTCCTTTATTTTCTATCAAGTCTCTGGACTGATACAATTTGGTTTTCGGATATCTCTACAATGAAATAAACATTCCGCCGGAACAAGCTCCAGATGCTCACAGAAGTTATGCATTATGAATAGGCCTGTGTTCTGTTTACGTATCATTGAATTGCCTACATTCTATTCGGAAAGCACTGTTTGCATTGGATTTTCTTTTTGCGTCACTACGTCAGCCGCATTGAGGTTTATGTGTATTTGTCTCACTTCATAACATCTAGTGTCTGTACGTAATCTATAACTGGCCGTATCCTCGCGTATCTATACTCACTTTGGACATAATGATGGAGAATTGATTTGAGTCATTCACAAAAGTGGCAGTAATATTTATTTATTCTGTTATGTAGTTTTGATTTAAAGCTCAAGCTAATGTGTCCCATGTGGGGTTGTCACTGTATAATCTATGTTTTTTATATTAAAGAATACTTGAGTAAATAATGTTGTCTGTCTTAGCTGTGGTAAAAAAATTATGGTTCAAGACAACATAACAATAATATTGCAAAAGTTTTTTATACAAGCGTTTCTTTGTTTAATACAGTGCCTTGCGAAAGGATTCGGCCCCCTTGAACCTTTCAACATTTTGCCACATTTCAGGCTTCAAACATAAAGATATAAAAAAAATATTTTTTGTCAAGAATCAACAACAAGTGGGACACAATCGTGAATTTATTGGATAATTTTAACTTTTTTAACAAATAAAAAACTGAAAAGTGGGGCATGCAATATTATTCGGCCCCCTTGCGCTAATGCTTTGTAGCGCCACCTTTTGCTGCAATTACAGCTGCAAGTCGCTTGGGGTATGTCTCTATCAGTTTTGCACATCGAGAGACTGGAATTCTTGCCCATTCTTCCTTGCAAAACAGCTTGAGCTCAGTGAGGTTGGACGGAGAGCGTTTGTGAACAGCAGTCTTCAGCTCTTTCCACAGATTCTTGATTGGATTCAGGTCTGGACTTTGACTTGGCCATTCTAACACCTGGATACGTCTATTTGTGAACCATTCCATTGTAGATTTGGCTTTATGTTTTCGATCATTGTCCTGTTGGAAGATAAATCTCCGTCCTAGTCGCAGGTCTTTTGCAGACTCAAACAGGTTTTCTTCCAGAATGGTCCTGTATTTGGCTCCATCCATCTTCCCATCAATTTTGACCATCTTCCCTGTCCCTGTTGAAGAAAAGCAGGCCCAAACCATGATGCTGCCACCACCATGTTTGACAGTGGGGATGGTGTGTTCAGGGTGATGAGCTGTGTTGCTTTTACGCCAAACATATTGTTTTGCATTGGGGCCAAAAAGTTCAATTTTGGTTTCATCTGACCAGAGCACCTTCTTCCACATGTTTGGTGTGTCTCCCAGGTGGCTTGTGGCAAACTTTAACTGAGACTTTTTATCAATCAATCAATCAAAGTTTATTTATAAAGCGCTTTTCATACAACAGATGCAACACAAAGTGCTTTACAGTTTGGCTAAAAAACAATCCTGCCCATGCCCTCCCCCCGACCGCCCAACAGACCCTCCCCAGACCACAAGCAAACACCACCCAACACACACCCCCACGCGCACACACACACACGCACCGATAAATCAATAAAACGATGATAAGAGACTTGGCAGGGTTCAGATGCAACCGGCTGAAGAAACGCCATCCAAGGAGCCGTCAGCGCCAGGAGCAGAGAGCCGCCCATAGCCAAAGGGGACGACACAGGACCCAGAGGAGACCCAAAACCGAGGCCCCGGGCCCCCACCAGGTCCAAGAGTCCGACCCCCACAGCCACAGCCAACCACCGCTCCCAGCGCAGAGGGCTCCTCCAGAGGAAACACTGGGGATACTAAAAACAATACAATAAGTAAAACACTAAAATGTGAGCCTGAAAGGAACTATCACACAAAACATGAATAAAAGCAATAGCAATATAATAAATAATAAAAGATAAATAGAATATATAAAAATGGACTAATAAATACTAATACTAATACTAATACTAATAATAATCAAAAGCTAATCTAAAAAGGTGTGTCTTGAGCCTGGCTTTAAAAATATGAACGTTCTCTGCGACCCTGAGCTCCTCCGGCAGACTGTTCCAGATGTTATGGATATCTTTGAGAAATGGTTTTCTTCTTGCCACTCTTCCATAAAGGCCAGATTTGTGCAGTGCACGACTGATTGTTGTCCTATGGACAGACTCTCCCACCTCAGCTGTAGTTATCTGCAGTTCATCCAGAGTGATCATGGGCCTCTTGGCTGCATCTCTGATCAGTCTTCTCCTTGTTTGAGATGAAAGTTTGGAGGGACGGCTGGGTCTTGGTAGATTTGTAGTGGTCTGATACTCCTTCCATTATATTATCCAATATAATTGCTTGCACAGTGCTCCTTGAGATGTTTAAAGCTTGGGAAATCTTTTTGTATCCAAATCCGACTTTAAACTTCTCCACAACAGTATCTCGGACCTGCCTGGTGTGTTCCTTTGTCTTCATGGTTCTCTCTGCGCTTTAAACAGAACCCTAAGACTATCAAAGAGCAGGTGCATTTATACGGAGACTTGATTACACACAGGTGCATTCTATTTATCATCATCAGTCATTTAGGACAACATTGGATCATTCAAAGATCCTCACTGAACTTCTGGAGTGAGTTTGCTGCACTGAAAGTAAAGGGGCCGAATAATATTGCACGCCCCACTTTTCAGTTTTTTATTTGTTAAAAAAGTTTAAATTATCCAATAAATTTCGTTCCACTTCACGATTGTGTCCCACTTGTTGATTCATGACAAAAAAATTAAATTTTATATCTTTATGTTTGAAGCCTGAAATGTGGCGAAATGTTGAAAGGTTCAATACTTTCGCAAGGCACTGTAATTGTGCTTTTGTGTCTAATTACTGCAGATTATAATCTGACCTCGAGGGTAATTTTCACCAACAATGGGTTGGCGAGATGTATTCTCTATGTGACAATCAAAAGGATTGAAAAGTTGAAAAATTAAAATTATGCCATTCAAATAATTAATAGATTCTTATAAAATAGCTAACAAAAGACAAATGAGCTTCTTTCTGTGGTCGTTTTAAAAGGTCACAGTGGAGCAGTGCATCAGAGCAGAAAGGACCAGCGCAGATTTTTTATATTTAAAGGTTTGGATTAGCTCCGCTTAAAGGACCATTATGCAATTTTTTATGTGAGAAAAAGTTTTATTTTACCATATTTAACCTTGTAATGATGGCTGTGTGTGGTCACGGTGGTCTCTAGGATGCACCAGGATACACTGTCTGGAAAGCTTCCTCTCTCTGAACCCTTGCACCAGAAAACCTACAAAACAATTGATCCCAGAGGACTGTAAACACCACTATGAGCTGCTGGGTGACTGCAAGGTAAAATGTGCAAAAATTTCAACTTTTATAATGTGAAAGTGCACTAAACCATTCACAGTTTTGCACCTGGATTGGGCAATAAATATACCTCATTACGGTTTTACTTTGAACATATTTAAATCTCAAAATTAATCTAAATAGAATCAATCAATCTCACTCCACTACATGAGCAAAACACTTAAATGTTATTTCTTTAAAAAATATCAAGATCTAAAGACTATTCATTATTAATCCCATTTTCATTGTCATCTACACATCTCTGCTTTTATGCTGTGACTGTGAGGTTGACTTGGCTCTTGGATGACAGACGCTGAAGCTGTATCTTTTGCCCCGAGCTGTGTGGTCCCTAAGCTCCACCTGCTCCACGTGTCAAACATCAGCTGCACTCAGCGTGACCTCGTCGGGGAGCTTCGTGTCATCGCAGAGACACCTGAGTGGACACGAGACTGACAGGTGAGAGGGGGGAGTCACCTGTCTCCTCTCCTCACATTCACTCTTCCTCTCAGAGCATCTTGCAAATTGAACAAAAGCAGTTTTGGAATGGGAGAAAAATTAAGGCAGGTTATAGGCACATTAATAATAATAATAATAATGCACTTGTTTTATATAGTGCTTTTATGGACACTCAGAAACGCTTCATATTTCATTATTCTTTTACTCCATTCACGGTGGTGATAAACTACTACTGTAGCCACAGCTGT